GCCTTGGCCAGCGGCGCGGCGATGTGGCCCTCGTCGGGCAGCGCGTCGGCGCGGCCGCCCTTGGAGCCGCCGCCGGGCTGGAGCGCCTTCTCGGCGGAGCGCGTCGCCGGCGCCGCCGACGTCGCCGCGAGGTCCTCGAGCGTGAGCATGGTCGGTGCTTGGTGTTGTCTGCTGCAAATGTGACGCGTGCGGGCGGGCTCTTCGCGGCGCTAGCAAGAGCTCATCACTTCCATCGCCCGCCCAAAGCGAAGCTCGATCGACGGCCGGCGCCGGCGGCGTCGACGTCCGCCGCCGCCGCCGTCGCCCGCGCTTACTAGGTACCTCCTCAAGACAGCGTGCACGCGCAGCCGCCGCCGTCCTCGGGGAGGGGGTCCTTCGTGTCGGGCGCGTCGACGATGTCGCCCATGATCATGACCACCTCCGCGATGTCCACGCGCCGGTCCTGGTCGTCGGCCCAGGCGCGGGGGAGCAGGCCGCGGAGCGCCGCGGCCCACCGCGCCGGCAAGACCGGCCGCTCGCCGCCGTCGACGACCTTCGCCCGGTGCGTCTTCTCGTCGTAGCCGCCGAAGGGCCGCCCGTTCAGGCCGCAGAGCTCGTAGGCGAGGATCGCGAAGCTGTAGACGTCCGCCGCGGTCCCGTACGTTTCCCCGCGGACGACCTCGGGCGCCATGTAGCGGACGCTGCCGACGCCCGTGAGCGCGTAGCGGCCGGACGCGCCCCGGTCCTGCTTCAGGGCCACGGCCAGGCCAAAATCCAAGAGCTTGAGCCGCCCGTCGCCCGTCAGCCCCAAATTCTCGGGCTTGACGTCTCGGTGCAGGACGATCGCGCCGTTGAGCGCGGCCCCGGAGTGCAGGAAGTCCAGCGCCGCCGCGAGCTCTTTCAGCACGCGGAGCCGCTCGCGCGAGGGCCAGGCCTGGAGCGCCATGGACCGCTCGTCCGGGTCCGCGACGTTCTTCAGGCGCATCGCCCGCATCACGTCCGACTCGAGCCACTCGAGCAGCACGCACGGCAGCCCCGCCGCCGTCGCGCCGCAGCCCAGGCCCTCGACGATGTGGTCGTGGCGGATGCGCGCCAGGAAGTGGACCTCGCGGAGCAATGCTTTTCGCTCGGCGTCGGAGTCCGCGAGCTCTTTGCGCAAAATCTTCAGCGCGTGTTTCTGGCCGGCTCTCTGGCCCCGGGGCACGACGCAGCCGTGGATCGTCGCCTGCTGGCCGAAGCCCTCGGGCTCGGCGCCGATATTTTGGAGCTGGTCGTAGTCGAAGGACGGGACCTCGAAGTCGTCGTCGAGGAGGTGCCGGGGCAGCTCCCTCGTGGTTAACGTCTCGCCGCAGTGCTCGATGTCGTCGTCGGCGCGGAGCTCGGGCGGCAGGGCGCCGAGGCGCACGGACACGCGCCGGCCCTGGACCCACTTGGGCGCCTCGGACCCCTCCTGGCTCAGGAACGAGTTGCGCTTCTTCGCGGGCGCGGGACGCGCTTGCTCGCCGCCCGCCGCGTCCGCCGCGGGCGTCGGACCGGAGTCGGACGGCGACGGACGCGCGGCCCACGACTTGAGGAAGGACGGCCGCTTCTTCGGAGGCGGCAGGTCGTTGGGCGACAGCGCGCGGATCAGCTCCAGGCGCGTCTCGCAGTGCGAGACGTCGACGCCCTTGACCTCGGCGTACTTGCGCAGCGTCTTGACGTTCATCGTCCCCAGCGACCCCGAGGGCAGGTCGTCCTCCGCGGGCGGCGCCGGCGGGGACTCCGCGGGCGGCGCGATCGGGTCCGGCGGCGACGGCGGCTGCGCATCGTCACCACTCATCGCGCGGCAGCCCCAATTTCCAAAACCTTCCGAATCGGCTTGCAGTGCAAGTTGCAGTACTTGAAAAAAAAGAAATGGGATTGGCCGACGCGCGAGTCCGCCCGTGCTCCCCAACGACCGGGCGCCAGACGCACGTATGGGAGCCCTCTTTACGAGCCGGGGCCCGGGACTGCTTGGGTATTCGGCGCGCGGCGGCCGGCGGCGCGAGCTACCGAATCGCGAAGCCGCCGCCGGTGAAGCGCGTCTTCGCGGACTGGGCCGCCGCGAGCTGCTGCTGCGCCTGGAGCTTGCCCAGGGACGCGTCCTCGTCCTCCATCTCCTTGATGAGCTGCTCGCGGCGCTTCTGCTCGTAGTACTTGCGCTTGACGTCCTGGAGCTCGCGCGTGAGGCGCTCGATCTCGTACTTGTACTCGTTGACCTGGGCCTGGTACATGTTGAGCTCCGAGGCCATGGACTTCATCTGGCGCGTCTTGCCCCGGAGCGACGACTGGTAGACGCTGAGCTGCTCCGCGACCTCGGGGCCCGGCTGGCGCGCGAGGATGTTCTTGAGCTCGAGGTACAATTTCTCCTTCTCCTGGATGAGCAGGTCCTTCTCGACGACCTCCTCCGTCTTCGTGATCAGCCGCTTCTGCAGCGTCTGGATCTTCTGGATCATCTCGTACGTCGCCGGGTCGCTGCCCTCGAGCTTCCGCCACCGGTGCACGTTCATGGGGTTCTCCAGCTCCTCGCTCAAAGCCTTGACCTTGGTCTTCTCCTGGAGGAGCTCGCGCTGCACGGCGATGAGCTCGCGCCGCAGGTCGTCGACCATGGACGACGACCCGTTCGCGATGCCGAGCTCGCGCTGCACGTCGCGGACCTTGAGCCGCAGCACCTGGACGTCCATGACGCGCGCCGTGTACTGGGCCTCGCCCTTGCGCAGCGTCGACATCTGGATCTTGAGCTTCTCGTAGAGGAGCGCGAGCTCGTCGTTGCGGCGGATGAGCTGCGTGCCGAGGATGTCGCGCTCGTTGATGACCTGGTCGTACTCCTTGCGCTGCGTGAGCGCCTCGTCGTCCATGCGCCGGATCATGGAGGCCAGGCGCCGGATCTCCGCGTCCTGCTTGTGGATGATGTCGTCGTTCGACTCGATGAGGCGCCGCATGCGGCTGATCTCGTTCCGCATCTGCTCCGACTGCTTCTCGACCTTCTGGTGCGCGAAGGACTCCTTGACGAGGGCCTCGTCCTTGGCGGAGATCTCCTCCTTGAGCTGCTCGATCTGGTGGTTCATGATCTTGAACTTGCGCTTCATCTCCGCGATCTCGTCCTGCGCCTCCAACAGATTCTTCGAGTACAGGTTCCGGTCCGACCGGACGCTCTCGTAGAGGTGCTGCTGCTGCTTGAGCTTGGCCTCCCACTCCGAGACCTTCTTCTGGAGCTCGTTGACGCGCATGTCCCGGAGCTTGACCTCCTCCATGGCCTGGAGGTACAGGTTGCGCTGCTCGGACGCCTCGACGCCGTAGCGCTCGCGCTCCTTTTCCAATTGATAGATGATCTTGCGCTGCTTGACGGTCTCGGCCTTGAAGGCGTTCATCTCGTTCTCCAGCGAGTAGGCGATGCGCTCCTGCTCCTTGACGTGGGTCTCGCTGAGCTTGATCTGCTGCTCCGCGCGCTGCGTGTCCTTGGCCGCGAGCTTGGCCTCGCGTTCCAACACCTCCCGCTCCTTCTCCTTCTTCTCGTTGAGGCGCTTGAAGGAGTCGAGCTCCTTCTGCAACGCCGTGATCTCCATCTGGGCCGTCAGCAGGGGCGTCTTCGACTCGTCGAGGAGCTTCTTGTACGTCAAAGCCGCGCGATGCTCGCGCTCGATCTTCCGCTCGAGCTGGCCCTTCTCGATCGTAATGCGCACGATCTCGTCCTTGCGCGCCTTCATCTCCTTCGTGAGGGACACGGACTCCAGGTGCTGCTGCTGGTTCTTCGTGATCTGCTCCTCGAGGTCCTCCGTGAGCTTTTGCGTCCGCTGGTACAGCGTGTCGTAGTCGCGCAAATACTTGTCCATCGTGTTCCTAGCGTCGTTGAGCTGCTTCTCCAGCTGGCCGATCTGCGTCGCTGATGTTGTTACTTCAGCATTAAGCTGCTCCTGCTCCGCCGTGCGCTTGTCGAGGGACGCGCGCGTGTCGCGGAGCTCGCGGTCCAGCCGCTCGCGGCGCCGCTGCTCGCGCGACACCTCGGCCTGGCGCGCCGTGAGCTGCTCCTCCAAAGATTCCACCTTCGCGCGCAGGCCCGCGATGTCGACCTCCATCTCCTCCTTGTGGCGGTGGACCTCGGCGAGCTGGCCCTCTAAAGCGCGCGTCTGCTGCGTCTGCTCCTCGGACTGGCGCTGCAGCTCGTCGCGCGTGCCGATGAGCTCCTTGACCATGGACTCCTGGCCGCCGGAGAGCTTGGCGCCCTTCTCCACGAGCTTCGACAAATTGGAAATCTCCTCGCGGAGCTGGGTGATCGTCTCCTTGGCGCGCGACTCCTTGCCCTGGGCCGCGTCGACCATCTTCCACGCCTTCTCGATCTCCTTGCGCAGCGTGCCGATGGTGTTCTGGTCGTCCTGGCTCAGCTTGAGCGCCGTGTGGACCTTGCTGGCGTTGTTGACGATCTCCGTGTTGAGCTCGCGCACCTTCTTGATGAGCTTGCGCTCGTGGTCGTGGGACCGCTTTAGCGCGCGGTGGATCTTCTCGTACTCCGCGCGGAAGCGGTCGAGGGACCGGTCGCCGGCGAGGGTCGCCAGCACCTCCTGGAAGTCGCGCTCCAGCGCCTCGAAGGCCGACAGCGAGAACTCGGCCTCGGGGTCGTCGCCCATGCCGAGCTTGAGGCCCGGCGCGTCGGGGTTGTCGATGTCGACGTCCATGGTCGTCTACGCGGCGCGGCGGCGCGGTCGCGGCGCGGCGCGGCGCGTCAGTCGCGGTCGACCACTAAAAACAACTCGGGGAGCCGCGCGTCGGGGCAGCGTCGTCCACGCGGTCCGCGACGTCGACCGCCGCCGGCGCCGTCTAGCAGCCCGAGCGCCGTTGCGGCGAAGATACATTTGCCCTTCACAAATCTAAGCGCATAAACGGCTTAGCGCTGCCAAGGACGGCCGGCCTGTGCTGCCTCGCGGTCCAGCGCGTCGTGGTCGGAGGCGCCGCCGTCGCGTAAGTTCCTCGCCGCGCCGGCGTCGGCGCGTGGAGCGGCGACCACCATGGGCCAGAAGATGGGCAAGGGCCACGTCGTCGAGGCGGCGGAGCCCTTCCTGAGCCTGCCGCAGTCCGCCGTCGACGAGCTCTGGCGGTCCTTCAACCTGAACACGGAGGGCTGGGGCCTCAACCCGGCGCAGTTCACGCGCATGCTCGGGGCGCTGACGCAGACGCTGCAGCTCGACGACGACGCCGCCCGGGACCTCTACGGGAAGCTCTTCGAGGTCTTCGACACGGACAAGAACGACCTCATCGACGCGCTCGAGTTCCTGGCGACGATCGCCGCCATCTCGGGCATGGACGCGAACAAGAAGATGATGTTCGTCTTCAACCTCTACGACTTCTCCGAGAACGGCGAGCTCATGCTCGACGAGGTCACGCTGCTCATGAAGTCGACGGTCGTTGGTTTGTCGAAGATCTCCCTCGACACGCCCCCGTCCCTCAAGGAATTCGAAGCGTTGGCGAAGCTCGCCCTCGGCTGCGAGCTCTCCGTCGACGGGAAGCCCGTCCTCGAGAACACGGCGACGATCTCGCGGACCAAGTTCGTGACGTACTGCGACTCCAATCCGACGATGTCGAGCTGGCTCGCGCACTACGACGACGTCGGCGCGCCGCCCGCGGAGACGGCGGAGAAGCCGGCCATCGCCGACGTGGCGTCCCTGGTCTTAGCCGCGGACGCGACGAACTTCAAGAAGCGCGTGGACAAGAAGGAGTGGCTCGCGACGAAGGACGTCGGCCTGGGCGACGCGCCGTGCGAGGCCGCGCACGTCCAGCTGATCCCCACGGAGCCGCCCGCGTCAGTCTCGACGAAGCCCGACTCGACGCTCGAGCTGTCCTGGGTCTTCGGCTTCGGCGCGCCGGGCGTGCGCATGAATTGTCATTATTGCGCCACCGGCGCGGTCGCGTTCCACGCCGCGGAGGTCTGCGTATTGCAATCCGTGGGCACCGAAGAAGAGGGCTTCAAACCGAGGCAGGAGTTCTTCCTGGACCACGGCCTGTCCATCTCCGCGCTGGCGCTCTCCGCCGACGGCGCGACGCTCGCGTCGGGCGACGGCGGCGACGAGGCCAAGGTCTGCGTCTGGGACGCGGCCACTAGGGAATCCAAGGCCGTCTTCCGCGGCTTCCACAGGGGCGCCGTCACGGTGCTGGACTTCTCCAAGTGCGGTAAGCTCCTGCTGTCCGTCGACGCGCGGGACCACCTCGCGCTCTGGGACCTCGCGGCCAAGTCCAAGGTCGCGTCCTTCGTTTTGGGTAAAAAGACGTACGCGGCGTGCTTCACGGCCCACAGCCTCTGCTTCGTCTCCTGCGGCGCGGACCACGTCACCTTCTGGATGGCGTCGGGCCAGGACAAGTACAACTTCGCACCGAAAGCGGGCCTGCCCGGCGCCGCGGGCAAGAAGGCGCGGACCTACACGTGCGTGAAAGGCTTGGACGCGCCGCCGGGCGGGTCGCCCGCGGACGACGCCTTGGTGGCGACGGCGTCGGGCGACGGCGAATTACTGCTCTGGAAGGGCCGCAACTGCTTCCAGACGACCGAGGCCCACGTCGGCGCCATTGCGGCGTTGCACTTCACGTCCGGCGGCACGAAAACCGCTTTATTGACGACGGCGGGCGTCGACGGCAAGGTCAAGATCTTCCGCGCGGACACGCTCGACATCCTGTGCCAGATGGATCTCGCGACGCTCCCGGCCGTCGGGTCGCCCGTGGCCGTGTGCCTGCACCCGCTGGGCGAGAAGTGCCTCGTGGGCACGACGGACGGCGAGCTGTACGAGCTCGCCGCGCTGTCCACGGTGCCGCCCGTGCCCGAGGGCGAGGAGGGCGGGCCGCCGCCCGTCGGGTCCGCCCTCGGCGGCGGGCCCCTCGTGCGCGGGCCCTCGGGCAGCGGCGGTTTGGTGGCGCTCGTCGCGTCTCCCTCCGGCGCGTTCTTCGCGACGGCGGGGAAAGACCGCGCGGTCACGGTCTTCGACGCGGAGTCGAAGAAGACGCTGTTCCGGGAGGTCCTGCAGTCCGCCCCGACGTCGGTCTGCTTCTCCGCGGACAACACGTCGCTGCTCGTGGGTCTGGAGAAGGGCACCGCTTTGGTCTTCGCGATCGGCGACGACTTCCTCCAGGTGCAGACGCTGGACCCGAACCCGGCGCCGGAGGTCGAGGAGGGCGCGGAGCCCGCGGAGCCCGCGGAGCCGGACCCGGACGCGCCGCCGCCGGCGGCCGTCATCGACTGCAAGTGGGCGTCCGACGGGACCATCGCGCTCGCGTGCGACGACAAGGTCCACTTCTTCACGTCGACGGATTACGTCTTGAACGGGGCGGGAAAAGGGTGATTCAACGTCGCTTCAACGTGGGTGTTCCGCGCGCGCGCGTTCCAGAAAAAGCATCCACGCTTCGAGACCGCTCCAAGAGATGATCGCTCGTCCAAAAATCAGCCGAAACGAGCGGAAAACGACCGAGATAGGAGCCTTTGAAGTTGGGAATTTCGCACCCTTTTGCTGCCCAGGTCTTGAAGGGCACGGCCCAGGTCTCGGGCGTCGTGTCGAAGATGGACTTCGCCGAGGGCGCGCCGCTCCTCCAGGTCGGCACCGTGGACCTGGATTTGGCCATCATCTCCTCCGAGGACGCGTCGTCGCCGGCGCCGGACGCGGCGAAAGACGTCGCGTGGCAGACGGCGACGTGCCCCGTCGCCTACGGCTACAAGGGCGTCGTGTCGTCGTTGTATTTCGCGACGCCGGCGGACGCCGGCGTCGTCGCCGCGGCGCCCGCGCTGGGTCTGTGCGCGGTCGGCGACCAGTTCGGGTCCGTCGATCTGCTGCCGTACCCGTGCCTCGACAAGTCCGGCTTCCAGTCGTCCGCGGGCCACGGCCCGGGGCTGTGCGGCGTGGCATTTCTCACGGGCGAGACGAACGGCCTACTCAGCGGCGGCGCGTCCGACGGCTGCGTCTTCCAGTGGGTGCTGGACGTCGACGAGCGCGTCGACGAGGCCGACGCCGCGGACGCGGCGGACGCGCCGCCGCCGGACGACGACGAGGAGGTCGTCGTCGACTATAAGGCGGAGGACGACGAGACCTTGGTCGACGGCATCGACCTGGAGATCGAGGACAGGAGCGACAAGTTCAAGGCCGTCCGCGGCGACGTCGTCGCGAAATTGTTCGAGCTCGAGGACGTCGACCCCGAGGCCGAGGACGCGGTCGACAAGTTCGACGCGACGGCGCCCTTCAAGGACACGGTCGTCGCGCCCGCCGCCGAGCCCTACCTGGGCCCGGCCGTGACGAACGACGACCTCGTGCTCGACTGGGTCCACGGCTACGCGGGTCAGAAAATGACGTCAAACGTCCGCTACAACGTTAGCGGCGACGTCGTCTACCCCGCGGCCTGCGTGGGCATCGTGCTGGATAAAACGAAACGATCCCAGCGCCACATGCTCCGCCACACGGACGTGATCACGGCGACGGCCATGCACCCATTGGGCGAGTTGTGCGCGACGGCGCAGGTCGGCGACGCGCCGACGGTCGTCGTCTGGAACACGCTCGACGGCGTCGTACAGCGCACCTTCTTTTTAAACGCGGGGAGTCGCGCGTGCTCCGCGCTCGCCTTCTCCGCCGACGGGAAATATCTCGCGTGCGCGGCGCAGAACGACGACCACGACGTCTCCGTCTTCGACTGGGACGACGGCGCGCTCGCCCGCGCGGGCCCTACCGGCGGCAAGAAGGTGCTGAGCATGGCCTTCAATGCCGCGGGCACGAAGCTCGTCTACGGCGCCGTCGACTCCTTCGGCGTCGCGTCGCTCGTGGGCCGCGGCGTCTGCGTGAAGCGCGGCATCTTCGGCGCGGCCGCGCGGCGCCAGACCGTGCCCGCCTGCGGCTGGATCACGTCCGGCGAGGGCGTCGAGGAGGCCGTCATCGGCACGGCGTCCGGCGGCGTCTTCAAGTTGGACGGCCGCGCCATCGGGTCCGGCGAGAAGATGCACAGCGGCCCCGTGACGTCCATTTTCACGTGTCCGGTTCTCCCCGGCGCCGAGGACGGGCCGGAGACGTCGGCCGTGGCGCTCGTCACGGGCGGCTACGACGGCAAGGTGAAGCTGCTGACGCCCGAGCTCGAGATGAAGATGGAGTTCGATTTGGGTAGGCCGGACTACGACGCCGTGGTGTCGTCCGTGGCGTCGGCGTGCCTGAACGTCGACCGGCGCAAGGTCTTAGTGGGCACCAAGGGCTCGGAGATCTACGAGTTATCGACGCTCGACGAGTCGGACGTGAACAAGGGCGCGCTGGTGACGGGCCACTGCCGGGGCAAGCTCGCGGCCGTCGCCGCGCACCCGATCCTCGGCGAGCTCGCGACGGTCGGCGACGACATGACGCTGCGGACCTGGGACCTCGCCGCGAAAAAGCAGCTCCGCGCGCTGAAGCTCGAGGAGTGCTCCCGCGCGCTCAACTTCATGCCCAACGGCCACCTCATCGGCCTCGGCCTCGGCGCCGAGGAGGCCGCGTCGTCGAAGACGGGCGTCGTCCTGGTCGTGTCCACCCTGAAGCCGTCCCTCGAGGTCGTCAAGGAGCTCAAGGACACGACGGCGGCCATCACGTGCATCAAGTTCTCGCCCGACGGCGAGGCCATGTGCGCGGGCGCCGCGGACATGAAGATCTACGTCTACGACACGCTCAACAACTTTGTGCTGAAGGCGACGTGCGTCGGCCACACGGAGCCGCCGCGGACGTTGGACTTCACGGAGAACTCGGCCTCCGTCATGTCGTGCTCGTCCGGCCCGCAGTTCGAGTGCGTCGTCCACGACGCCAAGTCCGGCGACGTCCAGGGCGACGGCCTCTCGGAGCAGGCCAACGAGCCCTGGGACGCCTGGACGTCGACCATCGGCTGGGGCGTGCTCGGCGCCTACCCGGCCTTCTCCAAGACCGACGACCTCACGAGCTGCTCGCGGTCCTTCGACAAGGAGCTGCTCGCGACGTCCGACGACTACGGCACGGTGAACCTCTACCGCTGGCCCTGCGTCGCGCCCGGCGCGCCCGCGAAGACCTTCGTGGGCCACGGGCCCCGCGTCGCCATGGTCCGCTTCACGCCCAAGTCCGACTTCCTCGCGTCCGCGGGCGAGACGGACCGGTGCCTCTTCCAGTGGTCCCGCAAGCGCAACGTCGGCCCGGAGAAGGCGTCGCTGGACGACGAGGCCGCCGCGGCGCTCGCCGCGTCGTTGGCGCCCGTGGGCCTCGCGCCGCCGCCCGAGGCGCCGGAGGCGACGTGGAAGGACGAGGTGCTGCCCCCGTCCGAGGACCCGACGGCCGTCGACGCGCCCGCGCGGGCGCCGGTGCTCCAGTTCGCCTACGGCGTGCCGACGACGAAGGAGAGCGTGGGCTACAACGCCAAGGGGGGCGTGACCTACGCGGCGGGCCGCCTGGTCGTGGCCTACGACGGCAAGGCCCACAAGCAGGTCTTCTACGAGGGCTGCACGAAGCCCATCTCCGCCTTCGCGGTGTCCGCCGACGGCGCCTACTGCGCCGCGGGCGAGTGGGACTCCGTGGCGCCTTTGAAGATCCTGGACGCGTGCACGCTCGTCGAGGTCGCGTCGCTGCCGCCGCGGCTCCGCGGCGCGATGACGCGCCTCGCCTTCTCGCCCTGCGGCAAGTTCGTCGCCGCCGTGGGCACGGGCTTCGGCAAGGCGCAGACGGTCTGCGTCTGGTCGAGCCCGCGCGGCGACTGGACGGACGGCGCGCATTTGGCGAGCACGCCGTGCGCGCTCCACGCGTGCGCGTTCCTCGCCTTCGGCACGGCGGCCTGCGCGTCGGCCTTCGACGTCGCCGTCGGCGGCGTCGGCGCCGCCGTCGGCACGCCCGACGTCGTCTTCCTCAAGCTCCGGGGCCGCAACCTCGTCGCGGCGGACACGTGCGTGCCCGAGGGCGGTTTAGGCGCGTACCTCTGCGGCGTCTGCTGCGGCGACGCGCTCCTCGCGGGCACCCAGGGGGGCATGCTCGAGAAGTGGACCCAGAAGTCGGCGGCCCACGCCGGCTTAGTGACGCGCGTGGCCTGCGAGACGGCGCACGGCGGCGGCGCGGCGTGCGCGACGGCCACCACCGAAAACCGCTGCGTCACGGGCGGCGCCGACGGCTGGGTCAAGGTCTGGGCGACGGCGGACCTGCAGATCCTGAGCTCCTACTTCCTGGGCGAGGCGCCCGTGCGCGGCGTCGCGTGCGACCTGAAATTCTTACGGGTCGCGGCGACGACGGCCAACGCGCTCCTCCACGAGGTCGTCACGGACAGCGGCAAGGCCTGCGTATTGTTGGAGGGCGAGGAGCGGGGCGCGCGGGGTTTGGCCGTCCACGAGGGGACCTTCGCGTCGTGCGGCGACGCGGGCTTGCTGCGGTTGTGGGACCTCGCGACGGACCGGAAGCTCTGCGACTACGACGTCGGCTTCGCGGCGCGGGCCTGCGCGTTCTCCCCGTCGGGCCAGCACCTGTGCGTGGGCGTGGGCTCCGGCGCGCCCGCGCTCGACGTCGACGGCCGCTTCGTGGTCCTGGACGTCATCAAGGACGAGGCGACGGGCGGCTATTCCCTGGCGAAAATCGCCGAGGGCCACAACGCCAAGGCCCACGTCACCTGCGCCGCCTACTCGCCCGACGGGTCCGTCCTCGCGCTGGGCTCCGCGGACAACATCGTCTACCTCTACACGGTGTCCGGGCTCACGCCCTACGAGCTCTTCGCGGTCTTCGACAAGCACGACGCGCCCGTGCTCCAGCTGGACTTCTCCGCGGACAGCAAGTACGTCCGCGCCGTGTCGACGTCGCTCCAGCTCCTGGCCTGCTCCTGCCTCAGCGGCGAGGAGGTGCCCCTGAACACGCTCAACGACGTCGCCTGGGCGACGGAGACCGTCTGCGTGGGCTACGAGAAGATCTGCCTCTGGCCCGACGAGCCCGACGGCGACCCCGTCGTCGCCACGGCGCGCCGCGCCGACACCATGGCGTCGGCGACGCTAAACGGCGCCCTCAAGGTGCAGGCGTACCCCTGCATCGACCCGGACGCGGCCGTCGTCTCCGTCCACGCGCACGGCGGGCCCGTGTCCTGCCTGAACTACGCGTCCGAAGCCGCGCTCCTGTCTTCCGGGTCGCTGGACTCCCTCGTCCTCAAGTGGGCGCCGACGCCCGCGGTCAAGGTCGAGCTCCCGCCCGTCGTCGACGACGCGGAGGACGCCTAGGCCCCGGGCCCTCGCGTCGCCTCTTCCCCGCCCCCTCCTCCATCCCCCGGTCTTAAATGGGACGCGAGCCGAGCCAGGTCGCGAGAAGTGGCGCCAGCCTTATTTGCTTCCGAGTTGCTGGCCAGCGCGCCGCGATCCCTAGGACGCGGCCCCTGCTTCGCTCGGCGGCGGGCCGCGCGGTTGCGGCGCCGCCGCGTAAAATGTTGCTCGGATTTTGTGTTGTTTGGCACGGATTTGGGTGTCTTTCCTGCGTTGAACCAAGTCCTCGCGATCGCGCGCGTTCACTCACACGGATCGATCGATGCATGTGTTAAAAGGGAAACCCGGCGTCGCGCGCGAGTCCGGCGTCGATACACGGCTGGGCGCAGCCGTTGTCCCTCCAGAGGCACTGGTCTTCCTCGAAGTTCCGCGGGTCCGCCGCGCAGGGATCGGCGACGGCGCGCTTGAGCCGGCGGTACTCGGCGAGCTTGCGTTTCAGCGGGCGGACGTCGCGTCGCACGCGGGCCGACGCGTTGCGCCAGATCGCGTAGTCGGCGGCCGCGCGCGCCTCGAAGCCGGTCGTCTCGGCCCACTTGCGGACGCGCGCCATCTGCGACGCGTCCGCGTGGACGAGAGCGTCGCCGGTCCTGTCGTCCCGGGCCCCGGCGACGCTGGAGTCCTTCGCGCTCACCGAGAGCACGTCGCCGAGCGGCAAGCCCAGGCGCGTCGCCAGCAGCACCATCGTCTCGTCGAAGAGCTCCGTGGTCCCGACGAGGTCGTAGACGTCCAGGAGCTTGTCGACGTCGCCCGGCCGCGGCGCGGATGCGAGGTCCGTTCGCAGGTAGTTCCAGAGATAGTCCGTGTGGGATCCGAGTTTGTTTTGTATTTTGTGGTCGGAGTCCTTCCCGTGGTGTCTCGTGACTCTGAAGAAGAAGAACGCGGAAACGCTCCGCGCTATGGGTTCGCGCACGACCGTCCAGAGGAACGCGCGCCAGGTGCCGCCCTCCTGGAATTCATGCATGAACTTCACGAATGTCCCGTGATTCGCATAGACCGCCGGACTCGTCGTCGTCGCTTTCACATCGTGCTGGGAAGCAAAGCGAGTGGAAGCGAAGCCGACGTGGCCGTGTCGCGAAGCGACGCGCCGCGCGACGCCGGCGGCGGTGCTGCTCGAGCACTTCTGGATCTTGATGAAGATGATCGACGTCTCCGAGACGTTCGCCGGTCTCGTGTCGTAGCGCGGGCCGAGGCCCGACGGCCGCTCGGGCCGCGCGACCCGCTGGCAGCACTTCTTCCCGTGGCATGGGTCTTTCCATTGGCAATCCGCCTCGCGATCACACGCTTTTTCATGCATGTTGAGGCACGACTCGTACGCTCGCGCGCCGAGCAGGCAAGCCGCGAAGATGAAGGCGGCGACCATCAGGATTTTAAAGGTGATGAAGCGGCCGCTTGAGATGTGCTTGAGCGATCTCCACAACGACGCCGGCGCCATGATGCTCGACGTCGATCTGAGAGAGGAAGAGAAGCGCATGATGATCCCGGGCCGCCAAAAGTCCACTGCGCACCATTCGCCGACGTGGGCGGAGCGCAAGCGGTCCTTCCCGCGGTGGGAGGGCGACGACGGCCTCGCTGTCGACGACTCGGAGGACGCCTTCGAGACGTCGCGCGCCGCGTCCCATCGCGCGCCGTCATTGGTCGCTGACGAGAAACCGAACATATTTGCTACTACCAACGTCACTCTTCGGAGAATGACGACAGCCTTAGAACAGATACCCGAGACCCCCGCGCCGCGACGAGTCGTCGCGAGTCGGTCGCGCGCTCGGCGGCTCACGCGCGCGCCCGCCGCAGGTACCAGTTCGTGCGCAATAAGGCGCCGCTGAGCTCTAAGCTCACGGTCATCGGCGCCGTCTTCGTCTTAGCGATCGTCGCGGTGTGGGGCCAGCTCCTTCTGAAGCCGCCCCCGTCGCCGACGCCGCGGCCCACGGCGGCGCCGGTCGCGCCGCCGACGAGAGGGTCCAGCAGGACCCGGCCCCTAGTCGCCGCCATCCTTCTCCGGCTGGTACTTGGCCATCTCCTCCTTGGCCGCGGTGAGCGCGGGCGGCTCGGCCGCGCGCTCGAAGAACGGCGAGTTGAGGTAGAGGTCGAAGACGAAGGCGGAGATGCCGAGGAAGAAGACGGAGCGCTTGACGATGCCGCCGATGCCGTAGTCGAAGGCGTCGAGGGGGTCGTCGGGCTTCCGGCCGCCGAGCTGGCGCGCGACGGCGTCGGTCTCCGGCAGCTCGAACTTCGGTAAAGCGAAGCCGCCGCGGTCCTCCGCCGGCTCCGGCGCGGCCTTCCGCGCGCGCTTCGGCGCGCCGCCGGCGCGCCGCGCCTCGAGCTGGGCGTCGACGGACGAGCCGAAGAGCTTGCCCGGCTCGTCGACGATGAGGTCCTTGGCGTCGCCCGCGAGCGCCGCCGCGTTCGAGTCCGCGGCGGCGGCGGCCGCGCGCGCGGCCTCGAGGGCCTCCATCTTCGCCACGGCCGGCGACACGTCCCGCGCCGGCGCGGTGACCTCCGCGCCGTCCATGGGCGCGCCGATGGCCTCCGCCGTCGGGAACGCGAAGGCCGGAGGCGCCACCGGCGCCTCGGCCGCCGACGACGGCTTGGCGGCGCCGCTCTTGCGCCGCTTCTTCTTCTTCGCGGCGAGCGCCGACGGTGGCCGAGGTCGCGGTGCCATGCGGAACGCGTCGACGGCGAGCACGCCGGCGATCACGAGCAGTAAGAGCCGTCGCGGCCGCATCATCGTGCTTCACGATCTGAGGCGATTCAGCATGTTGAACGAGGGCAGCCGACATTACCCCTCGGGAGTTTTGGGTGCGGCACTGCGGGATACAGCATCCCCGCGGAGAGCTCCCGGAGCTGCAACTGCAAGGGGATATAAATCTAGATGGGGTGGCAGGCGAAACGCGAGGTCCTCGTACTACTCGGGGCCGCCGCTAGCGTTTTCTTTCTTCTTCCACGCCGCAGCGCGCGGGCTGAGTGCAACGATGGCGGGTCGCGCGGCGCGGCGCGGCTGCGGAACCCTTCGACGGGGCGGGGCAGCGAATTTGGGCTGCTGAGATCATTGCGTTGGCTCGCGAGCGCGACGGTTGTTCGGCGGCGGGACGAGAGGGCGGCGGTGTGAGTCGAGTGTGCGATATTTTCTTGTCCTTAGAGGTTGGAGGCGCCCTATGGGTACCCGCGGGGGGCTCGAAACCTTCAGGACACACTTTTCCCACGATCTCAGAGCCTGCGCAGCCCCGGCGCCGACGGTGTCGCAACACAGTTTCTCGGGCAGCGTGCGGGCATTCGAGGTCGAGAACTTTTCGTGTCCTGAGATGCTCGAGCCCATCCATAGGTACCAACGAAGGGCTCTGCAGCGCCAGCAGACGGTCCACGACCATCATCATCGCGAACACGTCCAAGAGCTGCCCCAAAACCCCCTTCCTCGCGTGGCGCCAAACCGGACACGGTGCCCTCCAGCGCGCCTCGGTTTCCTTCCACCGGACCCGAACCGCCCGGACGCGTAAGTCTTGTCGCGGGCGCCTTCGCGGGGGAGCGAATACCGCTGCGGTCCGTCTGGGGCCGCGTCGACGACGGCGGCGTCGAAAAGTCCCCGGCCAAAAGTCGTCAACATTGCCCCAAAACGATGGGTTGCAGTACGAGGAGCTCGCGCAACATAATCTCGTTGAGCTGCCACCCCATACTATTTATTACCCCTTGGCAACTGTGCGTCGGGGCTGCCATGCCCGACCATGGCTTCGCCCCGGCGTACAAGAAGATCAACTACCCGGACCGGCAGCGGCGGGACATGTCGCTGAAGAGCGCGTCGATGATCTCCCTGACGACGCGGCCCCTGTCGGCGCCGAGCCTCGAGTTCGTCGACACGGCCCCGGGCACGCGCGGCGCCGGCGCCCGCCCCCGCCGCCCCGCGGCCCCCGGGAGCGCCCGGCGCGCAGGTACAATCTGCCGTCCATCTTCGCGCCCAGCAACTCGCACCAGGTCAAGCGCCTGGGCAGCTCCTGGGCGTACTCGACGGGGCGGACGAAGTCGCGCGCGCGCCGCGTCGTCGCATTCATCCGAGAGCGCCCATCGGAACGGCAGAGAGCCGAAATCTCGATCGCGCAGGCTCACGCCCGAGGGCATGAACTACATCTGCTCCCACCCGCTCCAGCGCCGCTTCGACGGCCAGCAGCTCGGGCCGGGCTCCTACCACCCGGCCCTCGCCATGAACGGCCGCCTCATCTCGCGCCGCGGCCTCTGAGCCCTATTCTCGGACCCGACGGATTGTCTCCGTCGCGTCCTTTGTCTTATTTCCAGCGACGAAGTCGGCGACGACGCGCCCTTCGACGCACTTCGACGCGCGCGAAATACGCGCAATACCTCGAGTTAACAGCCAGCCCTAGTCGCCGAGGAACAGGCGAATCGTCGACGTTCGGGGATCGCGCCTCGCGAAGACGAACCCCTCAGCGCCCCGATCCGTTACTACTCGCGCCCGGACGACAGCGCGACGACCGCGGCGTAGTCCTCGGGCGTGAGGGCCGTCGTCGTCGGGTCGTAGTCGCCCGTCGTGGACTTCCCCGACGCCGTGATGCTGTCACGGTGGTACTCGTGCCAGCCGCCGTCTCGGTGCTGCGAGGAGCCCTTCCAGTCCGCGACGCGGTCCGCCGCGGGCCGCGAGGCCGTCGCCCGGGTGATGAACTTGTAGACGCGCTCGAAGCTCGCATGCTTCGCGGTCAACGTTTCCAGCGCCTTCCAGGCCTTCTCGCTCACGTCCGCGAAGGCCTCGACGACGCCCTCGCCGAGGCCGCGCCGCTCGAGGTCCGCGACCTCGAGGCCGGCGAGCAGCGCCTGCCGCTCGAGCACGACCCAGGCGTTGGCGCCCCACATCCACGCGCCCTGCTCGAAGGCGCCGCCCTCGACGGAGTGCGCGCCCTTGGCCGAGTGCGCCGGCGCGGTGGCGTTCGTCGTCTCCTTGGGGCTGCCCTGGCCCTTGGCCTCGGCCTGGATTTCGTAGTGCGCGTAGACGATTTCTTGCAGCTTCGCGTCGCGCTGGTCATAGGCCGAGGCCGGGAAGCAGAGCACGACGAGGGCCAGGAAGCGGGGCGCCATCGTTCCGGCGCGAGACGCTGGCATCGGCACCATCCCCCGCGCGGCAGTATCATTTCTGAGGGCAGCAACCACCGAGCTTGTGGTACTTTTTCTAATCGAGAGGCTGCGTGGGCATAGACCGCATCCGCTCGTGGTCGCGCGCCGTCGACGCGTCCGTCGTCCTCGCGCCGGCCGGACCTCCTCGTCGAGGCCTCTCCCGCGCGCGCGCGGCCGCGCGGCGCGGGAGCGCGCCGCCCGCGGGCCATGGCGTCCTACCTGCTCGAGAGCCTGTCGACGCTCGTGCTCGGCGAGGAGGACGACAACCCGGCGTGCCTCAAGGTGCGCGGGTCATCCCCGCGCGCCCCGCCGCCTCGACCCCGCGCCGCGCGCCCGCCGCCGCGCCGCGCGCCGCGAGCCGCGCGCGCCCGCAGGACCCGTCGATCCAAGCTGTGTACGAGGCGCCGCACAAGGCGCGCCCCCCCGGCGTCTTTTCGCGGCGCGTGCCGGGACGACGCGTCTCTTTGTAGGCCCTCGGCGTGTCCCAGAACTTCAAGCCCTGGGAGCTCCGCGACGCGCTCCGGAACAACTGCGTGAGCCTCCTCGGCCGCACGTATTTCAACAAGTCCGAGAAGCCCCTGCTGCCCTACAAGCACAGCCTCATCGCCTACCACCTCATCGCCGACAACGTCAAGGTGAAGAAGGCCCAGGACCTCAAGCGGCTCATGGAGGAGGAGGCGCACCTCTTCCGGGGCAGACCCCAGGACGTGCTCCAGATCCTGCGGCCCGTGCACTGCGAGGGCATCGTCATGAACGGCCACGTGCGCGCCTGCGGCATGCTCGCCGTCGTCTACGAGGATTATGCGTTGGCCCAGGAGATCGACGACGTCATGCCGCACCAGAAGTACGTCATCCGCGTCTGCTACTGCGCGCGCGTCCACTACGTGAAGCGGCGCTACAGCGAGTTCAAGGCGCTCAACGAGCGCATGACCAAGGAGCTGCTGATGGTGCCGGGCTTCCCGGCGTCCGACGCGCTCTTCAAGATGGGCCTGGGCAACTACGACGCGCGCGGCCGCGCGCTCTGCCGCTACGTGAGCCGCATCCACGCGTCGCTGGGCGCGCGCGGCATGTTCAGCCCGCGCCTGCTCCAGTTTTTGGAGATCGACGCGGCGCGGGTCCACATCGAGGAGGACGGCCGCGTGTCGCGCATGCTCGACTCGACGGCCGCCATCTCGGGATCCGCGTGGCACATGGTCGACGAGTTCTGGCTCAAGCGCTGGCGCAAGTTCGTCCTCGGCCGCGCGGCGCGGCGCTACGAGCCGCCGGGGCCCATCACCAACGAGCGCTTGTTATTGCCCCGGGAGCCGCCGGAGGACGTGGACGAGGACCGCGCGTCGACGGTGCCGATCCCCGTGCGCCGCAAGGTCAAGGAGAGCTTCCGGGCCATGTCGTCGGCCGTCGCCAAGTACACCGTCGCGGAATCCTCCGAGCAGCTCGACCTGCCCGGGGGCATCCCGCGCAAGGACCGCGACGACGACGACGACGACGACGCGGAGGCCGCGACGATCGGCAAGCACTACCGGGCCATCAACTACAACCTGTGGATCTACTGGAAGATGGTCCACGGCGGCGGGCCCTGCATCACGCGCAAGAACAAGGATATTTTGTCTCCGCCGGCCTGCGGCACGGGCATGGAGGCCGTGAGCCGGCTCCAGCGCTTCGCGCGCGTCGTCAACGCGAAGCAGGAGAAGATCGCCAAGTACTGGAAGCACCTGAGCCGCACGGCGCCGGGCGTGCGCGAGGTGCTCGCCGACTTCGAGGAGCAGCGCATCAAGGACCGCGTGGACCGCGTCATCAAGGCCGCGAAGAACGAGCGCACGTCGGACCGCCTCCACACGGCGACGCGGTACACGCAGCGCATGTGGCGGTCGAAGAAGGCCTACGCCTTCAACGACGACAACGTGCGCGTCATGAAGCACGCCCAGGAGATCTTCGCCCTCGCCGACGGCGAGGTCGAGCACGCGTCCGCGGGCGCGCCGTTCGTCGTCGAGGAGGGCGAGAACATCATCTCCATGGGCACGACGGAGCAGTACGAGATCAAGTTCTCGGAGAGCGACGGCCCGGCCCTGCCCATCGGGCTGAAGAAGCACGCCTGCTCGGAGCTCACGTTCATCCACACGGTGGACGCGAAGAATTTGATCATGAAGAAGGGCCGCGACATGTTGGTGGAGGACTCCGTGCTGCTGGTGGTCCAGTCGTACCCCGTGTCGTCGCTGAGCCACGAGGCCGTCATGCACCGCCTCAAGTCGGCGAAGTGGCCCTTGGTGTTGAAGTTCGAGCGGCCGCTGGAGGACGCGGACGTGACGCTCATGCCGGACATTCTGGAGTTGGACCACGCGACGCCGGGCGGCCTGCCGGACGACATCAAGCTCCAGATGGTCAAGCGCCTGCTGAACAAGGGCCTGAGGGTGCGCAAGCACGGCCGCGCGGGCAAGCCCCACGACACGATCCTCTACCTCAACGAGACCATCGTCTTCTGGCAGGTGCGGAACGCGCTGAAGGCGCAGGCGGACTCGAAGATCGTGAAGAAGAAGAAGAACGTGCCCGAGGACGAGCAGGAGGAGGTCAAGGGCCTGTCGCTGAAATACGACCTCACGAAGGGCGTGTCGCTCTACGACCTCAAGTACGTCCGCGTGGGCAAGATCTCCGCGGCCTTCAAGCGGGCCGTCGCGAAGCGCGCGCCCGAGGCCAACTGCTTCACGATCTTCGCCGAGGGCCGCACGCTCGACTTCGAGTGCATCGAGGAGTTCGCCGACAGCGCCAAGGCGCGCACGGTCCTCGCCTGGGCCTTCGACAAGGTCATCGCCGAGGCCCGCGGCACGAAGATCTTCGTCGACAAGACGGGCGCGCCCATCGCGCGGACCGCGCCCAAGAAGCGCCTCCGCATGATCGTGGGGGCGCACTAACAGTACACAACCGAGTGCTATGGCACGTCGCGCGCGGCGGTGTCGACGTCGACGAGCGCGCCCTCTCCCGAAGATCTGCACAGCCAGCTATATCCCGTCGTTGCCGCGGTTTGTGAGCGCGGGCGCTGGAGGTTTTGCGCGCGCGCATCGGCTCGACGCCATGGCGGCTCCCGAGCTGCCGGAAGGTGCGCGCGCCCCGTGGTCGCGCGTTCCGGCACGCCCCGTCCCGCAGGCACGCTCAACATGTTCATCCAGAACAAGAACCTCGAGAAGCGCGCCCGCCGCGTCCGCTCGACACAAAAAGGCTGCCCCGCCCCCCCCGACCCAAAACATAGAAAACGCGATGGAACCCCAGGTACGGCCTGCTCGTGGACAAGGACGCCGGCTTCCTGCCGGAGAACTTCGTGGACTACCGCCTCGTGCCGCGCGCGGAGACGTTGGAGGAGGTCCGCGCGGTCGGGTTCATGAGCGACTTCCACCCCATGTTCACGCAGATCTCCGCGGACAAGAGCGAGTTCATTTTAGTCATCGTGGACCGGCAGCAGGTCTACGGCGACTCCTGGCGCGTCTGCCTCACCGCGGAGGCCCAGACGCGCGAGATGGCCCAAATAGAAGCCCAGGAGGCGGAGAAGAAGGCTTTGGACGACGCCATCGCCGCGGAGAAGGCGCGCCTCGAGGAGCAGCAGCGCGCGGCGGAGACGGCGGTCTACGAGGACAAGCCCTTCACGCCGCGGCCCTACGAGTCCGCGACGATGGCCGAGACCGCGGACGACGTCGCGGCGCTGACGATCCAGCCCGAGCGGCCTCTGATCAACTACACGCTCATCCGCCCCCTGGACTCCTTCGGCCACGCCGTGAACTTCGCCGACCGGTCGGCGGAGAACGAGAAGTACATCGAGCACCGCGCGCAGAAGAACCCCGACTTCGAACTGAACCGGCGCGAGGCGGACATCTCCCTCCAGGCGTCGCCGGCCGTGGATTCCGTGCACACGCAGACCTGGTACCGGCCCGTGAACATGGCGACGCAGTACGAGCCCGTCGCCGAGGACCCGGCGCCCGTGCCCGCGATTTCGCGGATCCGGGGCAAGGCCATCTCCGAGGGGGCGCTGCCGCCGGCGAACGCGGCCTACAGCGCCGAGGAGGAGGAGCAGCGGTCGCTGCTGGCGGCCCACGAGAAGGGCAACGCGCAGCTGGCCGACTTCCTCAAGGCGAAGCGGAGCGTCGTCGAGGCCGCGCTGCAGCAGAACGAGACCGTCGACGTCTTCCGCGACGCGTTCCACGCCGTCGGCGACGACGAGGCCGCGGTGTCGAACAAGGGCGAGAACGAGCTCAAGGAGTTACGGACCTTCAACGACATCGTCTACTCGAAGAACATGAGTCTGTGCGACATCGACTGGCACCCGACGCAGAAGGGCATGCTCGCCGTCGCGCCCGTGCGGAATTTCAACTTCGACGAGCGCGTGGAGATCTCGGGCCAGGCCTTCAACTCCTACATTTTGCTGTGGGACTTCGTGGATTTGATCCACCCGCAGCTCATGCTCGAGTCGCCCCAGGAGGTGTCGTGCTTCTCCTTCAACTCGACGCAGACGCACCTGGTGGTCGCGGGCGCGGTGAACGGCCAGGTCGTGCTCTGGGACATCAAGGCCGCCGTCGCGGCGCTCGTGCGCCGCCAGCACCGGTCGTCCATGGCGCGCGCGGGCGGCGGCGGCTCGGGAGGTTTAGCCGCGGGCGACGACGACGACGAGGGTCGGCCGCCGCCCGTGAAGCCCTGCGCGATCTCCTATCTGGACGCGACGCACAAGCGCGGCGTCGCGGACCTGACGTGGCTGCCGCCGGACTCGCAGATCAACTGGCGGGGCCAGTTCCTGGAGAAGAGCCTGTGCGAGGGGCCCACGCACCAGTTCGTGACCGTGTCCGGCGACGGCCAGGTCCTCTTCTGGGACACGCGCTACGCGGACATCGCCGCGGGCAACCTACCGAAGGTCGGCCGGCGCCAGGGCAAGCAGGACGACAAGCCGGGCAAGGACGGCAAGCTGCCCCAGGTCCTGTGGCTGCCCTTATTTCGCATGCAGCTCAAGCGTTTGGAAGGCGTGGGCGAGCTGTCGCTCTGCCGCGTGTGCCTGGGCTTCGAGGGCGCCGTCGCGGAGGACGCGGGCCGGCCCGACGCGCCGGACCGGCGGTCCCAGCTCTTCTGCTCGTCGGAGGAGGGCGAGATCGTCTTCGCGGACTGGCTCGCGAAGCCCGTGGGCCGCGACGGGTCGAAGAAGGACGACGACGACGACGACGACGAGACGCCCGAGTACGTCCAGTGGATGGCGCCGGACCACTCGCGGCCGGCGACCGTGCTCATGAAGTCGCCCTTCTTCCCGGACATGGTGCTCAGCGTCGGCGACTGGAACTTCCAGCTCTGGAAATTGGACCACCCGCGGCCCATCTTCTCGAGCCCGCAGGCGTCCGTGTCGCTGACGACGGGCTGCTGGAGCCCGACGCGGCCGGGCATGCTCTACATGGCGCGCAGCGACGGCTCCGTGGACGTCTGGGACCTCACGGACTCGTCCTACCGGCCCGCGGCGCAGCTCATGGTCGCGCCGACGCGGATCACGAGCATCAAATTCCTCAACCCCACGGCCATCTCGAAGCAGCAGCTCCTGGCCGTCGGCGACAAGGCGGGCAACCTGCACGTCTTCGACGTGCCGCGCAATTTGTGGCGGCCGTCGCCGAACGAGAAGGCGATGATGGCGTCGTTCGTCGAGGGCGAGGTGAGCCGCGTCGACTACATCGACAAGCGCGCGGAGTTCCGCAAGCGCCAGGCCGAGATGTTCGTCGACGACGACGGCACGGCGGGCGGCGGCGGCCAGCAGCCCGAGGCGGGCAAGAAGGAGGAGGGCGCGGCCGCGCCCGCCGCCGAGAAGGCGCACGCGGACGAGGCCGAGTTCGCGGGCGACGAGCTCGACGCCATCAACACGGCCTACAGCGAGCAGCAGGCCAAGTTCGTCGAGCTCATGGGCCTCAAGCTCGGCGACACGGGCACCGTCGACGTCGACAACGTCGGCGTCAACGTCGCCGGCTCCTAGGCGCGGGCGTCTCCGCGGCCGCGTCCAAGTCGCGCCCTCCCCACGCACGCTTACGACGCTAGACGAGGGTCAGGCACGACGCGCCCTGGGAGATGCGCCCTGTCTTCGCGTCGAAGGCGAACCGTTGGGCTTCGTTGGACGCGTCGCAGAGCGCGAGCTTCACGTCCGACGCCGCCGTCTCGAGGCAGTAGCCGTTGTGCATCATGCCGCCGTCGACGGCGATGGTCGTGTTGAAGGTGAAGCCCGCGCTGCCGGGGTTGGGGAGGCACGTCGCGACCTGGACGGGGTCGACGCTGATGGCCTCGAGGCACGCGCGCGCGCCCTCGTTCCTGACGTCGCTCCCGCGGACGCCCTTCTCGAGCGTCTCGCCGCTCCACGCCTGGTACTTGTCGCCGGCGTCGCATCCGGCGAGCGTCACGTTCATGAGGTCCGCGGACGCCTCGCGCTTCATGCATTCGCTGATGCACTGGGACTCGGGCATGGGGCCCGTGAAGCCGTCGGGGCAGGCGTCGCCCGTCATGACCTCGCAGTCGTTCATCGTGCAGCAGTAGGGCGTCGGGTCGACGGGCTGGGCAGCGGCCGCGACGGCCAGGGCGACGAGGATTCTCAAGGCCATGCTTATATCGACGATCGCGAGGGGAGTTTCAGGATCGTGCACACAAAGTTGTAGCGCGCACCGCACAAAAAAAATCGAGGTGGGTGTGGCCACCGGGCTGCATTGTGGAATGCAGCCGGAGTAGCCATGCGCTGGGTCGCCTGGGCCGCGGCCCTGCCGCTGGTCGCGCGGGCCGGCACGATCACGGCCGACGAGGCGCGCTGCATCGTCGACGGCAAGACGACCATCTTCTTCGGGGATTCGCTCACGCGCTTCTGCTACTACGAATTCAACACGTTCCTCTCGACGGGCGCCGTGCGCGACCACGAGCTCGGCGCGTCCTCGGGCGACGGCCGCTGGAGCGACGACTACGACGACTGGGAGGAGTGGACCGAGGAGGGCATCTGCGGCGCGGGCGGGAAACACCGGCGCCGCATCTGGATGGATTTGGACGAAACGACGCGCACGGAATTCTACTTCATCAACAACGTCTGGTATGCTGAAGAGGACATGGACAAGGACGGCGACACGTCCCTCGCGGACGTCGCGGAGGTCGCGAAGGACGCCGCGGACGTCGTCGTCTACAACATGGGCTGGTGGCAGCTCAAGGACTGCTGGGAGGACTACATGTGCGGCGCCGAGGGCTTCGACGAGACCTGCGCGGCCTGGTACGAGGGCATGATGCAGGAGGTGCTGGACAACCTGCTCGCCTTCGACGACGACGTCGTCGGTATTTACCGCACGACGGCCTGCTGCGGCGAGTCGCACTTCGGAGACAATTACAACAGTCTCGGGACGGTCACGGACGGCTGGGTGCCCGCCATCGAGGCGCAGAACGCCAAGGCGACGGCCATGATGGAGGCCGCGGGCGTGCCCGTCGTCGACGTCTACCCGTTCTACAACATCTCGTCCGTCGACGACTACACCTTCGACTCCAGGCACGCGACGGTGGCGACGTGCCACGTCTGGACGGAGATGATCCTGCGGGCCATCGATCGCGCGCAGGGCACGGGCTGCGTCGCGGACCTCGGCGCGGACTACGTGCCGGAGTTCGTCTTCGACCGCTGGCCGTCGCCCGGGCCGACGCCCGCGCCGTCGGCGCCGACCTACGCGCCGTCGCCCGCGCCGTCCTACATGCCGAGCGCGTCGCCGCCGACCTACCCGCCGACGGCGTCGCCCTCGGCGCCCTGCGTCGACGACGTGCGCTGGGCCAAGGTCGGGACGCCGCGGAAAGACTGCGCGTGGGTCGCCGAGTACCCCGGCCTCCGCTGCGACGTCGTCGGCGCCAACGCCACGGCGCACGAGGCCTGCCGCGCGGCCTGCGGCTGCTCGTCGCCGCCGTCGCCGGCGCCCGCGGGGTCGCCGACGCCGGCGCCGTCCGCCGCGACGGCGCCGCCGACGGCCGCGCCGACGGCCGCGCCGACGGCCGCGCCGACGACCGCCGCGCCCGCGGCGGCGCCCACGGCCGCGCCCGCGGAGGCCGCGATGTCGCCGACGGCGGCGCCGCTCCCTTCGCCGACCGCGGCGCCGCTCGCGTCGCCGACCGCCGCGCCGACCGCCGCGCCGACCGGGGCGTCGCTCCCTTCGCCGACCGCGGCGTCGCTCGCGTCGCCGACCGCGGCGTCGCTCGCGTCGCCGACCGCCACTCCGCTCGCGCCGCCGACGGCGCCGCCGACCGGGTCGCCGCTCGCCGCCCCCCCGGCGCAATGCCCGAGGACGTGCTTCGAGGAAACGTGCGACGCGTGGGCGACCAAGGGCAGCTCGTGTGCAGACCTCGCCTACTGGGGCTGCGACTGCGCCGGCTGTGTCTGCGCGCTGGACGGCACGGACGGCGACGCGACCGTCGTGGACAAGAAGCAGGGCGCCGCGCCCGCGCCGACGGCCGCGGCCGCGAGCTCGTGGTCCGTCGAGAGCCTCGAGAGCGGCGGCGCGACGCGCTACTACTGGGTCTACGCGCCGGACACGGCGGACTACACGGGCATGATGCTCTTCTTCCACGGCGCGGGCGGCGGGGCGAACGTGAGGCGCGACTACCGCGTCGCCGAGATGGCCGACGCGTACGGCTTCGTCGGCGTCGTGCCCGTCGGCAGCCCGGGCGACGACGACGAGGACGGCAAGGGCGACGACGACGTGTGGTCGTCGTGGGACGGCGACAAGCGGCGGCGCCTGGCCGGCGACAGCACGGAGTACGGCTACCACTGGAACGTCGACGTCGCGGACGGCGTCGACGACGTGAGCTTCGTCCACGCGGTCGTCGCGGCGGTCGCGGAGGACTACGCCGTCGCCGCCGACAGGCCCGTCATCGCCCTCGGCTTCTCCAACGGCGCGGGCATGTCGGAGCTCCTCGGCTGCCACAGTAGCTACGATCTGTGGGTCGCGCACCTCGGCGTGCACTACCGCGCGGAATCGGACTGGCCGTCGACGTGCCAGTCCAAGTATTCGGACTGCCCCGAGTGGAACGCCGTCGGCTCCGAGGACTGGTTCCTCGACACCATCGGCACGGACGGCGTCCTCGCGCAGTTCGAGGCGAGCCGCGACGCCGCGGGCTGCCCCGAGGAGGCCGCGAGCCGGGACGGCGAGTGCTACGAATACGCGAGCTGCCCGTCGTTGGGGCGGCTCTGCGTCTGGGACGGCGTCGGCCATGCGATCACGGACGCGACGACCGAGGCCGCGTGGACCTATCTGACGGGCGGCGGCGCGTGCGCGCCGACGACGGCCGCGCCGTCCTCCCTCCCGGGGTCCAAGAAGTCGTCCGACGCCGCCGACGCCGCGTCGTTGGGCGCCGAGAGCCTCTACGCGCTCGCGGCCGTCCTCGCCCTGCTGATCCTCGCCGCCGTCGCCTACCGGCTGTCGCGGACGAAGGACTCGGCGCCCTTCGCGCCGCCGTCGCCGCCGCCGCCGCCCGTGGAGGACGTCGCCGCCGTGGCCGTGCGCGAATTCGCCGTCGAGTTCGACGACACGCCGACGAAGGCGTGCAAGAAGGCGTTCCTCGGCGACGACGCCGACGCGCCGGCCGAGACGCCCGCGGCCGCGTGCCTCGGCGAGCCCCTCGACACGCAGGTGACGACGGGCTCCGAGATCCACCCCGCGGAGCCCGCGAGCCCCGGCGTCGCGGGCTGGGCGAAGACGCTCGAGCTCGGCGACGGCGACGCGCCGGAGGAACCGGCGGGGGGCGTGCCCGACGCGTGGCACCGCACCTGCGAAGCGGAGGCCGCCTCCCCGGTGGAAGACGCGCAGCGCGCGCTCGACGCGGCCCTCGAGCGGGCGTCGTCGCTCGGGGACCTGGATCCGGAGGCCCCGGAGGGCGACGCCGAGGCCGCCGACGCGCGCGACATCGCCGGCGACGTCGCCAAGGCGCTCCTCGACGAGGAGGCCGCGGCGGACTAAATTCAATGTGGACATTGCCCGGCGAGACGACGATCGCGCCGCGCGCGCTGGGTGTGCGCGCCTCGCTCAGGTTCGCTAAAATTACATCATGTTGAAGGCAAACTGAACATTTGAGTTCTCAGGATGGTCAGCTGAGACGGGGGGGGGCAGCCGCCATGCGCTCCTGGCTGTGGGGCGCGCTGCTGCCGGCGGTCGTCCATGCGCGCTTCGCGTCCATGTGCATCGCGTCCGAAGCGCTGAGCGCCAAGGAGTCGGAGGTGCTCGCGCGGCGCTGCGCGTTGCAGGTCTGCTCGCTCATGCTGACGACGGCGCCGGCCGAGCCGCCGCTGGTCATGGTGCACGGCCTGAGCGAGCGCCAGGTGAAGCTCGTCGAGCGCGCGGGCGCCGAGACGCGCGCGTCGCCGGGCCTGCGGGCCTGGAACGCGACCGGCGTCGTCTGGCGCGACCGACCCGCGCGGCTCGCGGCGCTGTCGGAGCCCGCGAGGACGTACACGTACCACAAGCTCCACATGTGGGACCCGGCCTTCGTGCGCGAGCCGCACGTCAGCTTCGTCGACAGCGACGCCGTCTTCGTGCGCAACGCGTCCGCGCTCGACGCGCGCGACCTCGAGCGGCCCGCGGCCTGGTTCATGCGCGACAGCTGCAAGCCGCCCAACGTCGCCTGGGACCTCTGGGACGCGGGCATCTACATCGACGGCGCCAGGGTCGCCAAGCAGGACGCGTACTGGAACACGGGCGTCGTGTCCTACGAGCCCGACGCGGCCGTCGCGGCGGCGCTCTGGCGCATGTACGGCGCCGGCGACTTCGCCGCCCTCGACCCGGGCGCCTACGTCTGCGAGGGCGACGTGCTCCAGACCTACTACTGGCGCGCGAGCGCGGGCGCGCTCCCGCGCAAGCTCAAGGCGGGCTGGAACTTCCGTGGCTACAAGTGCTCCTACGCGGACCTCGAGAAACGCGCGGACCTGAAGATCGTCCACAAGGAGGAGGCGCGGTCGGCGAAGATGATCCTCGAGACGTGCGAGGGCGTCCCCGCGCGCCAGCGGTCCGACGAGCCGCCGGCCTTCCTCCTCGCGCTCCGCGGGGCGCTCGACGAGGGCCGGTGCCTCGACCCCCGCGCCGCCGCCGAGCTCCGCGCGACGTGCCCCGACGCGTAAAAGGTCAAAGAGGAGGTACTTGCAGGGGGGGCATCGCGCGAGCCGCGTCTCCGCCGGCGCCGGCGGCGCGCTCGGCGCGGCCGGGGGCGCGCCTAGCTCCAGTCCCGGATGACCTGGGACCGGATGTTCTTGTTGATGCGGCAGTCGGGGTTGCAGGCGAGGTTGCGGGCGCAGGTCCAGGCGCAGAAACCGCACGCGCCTGCGGAGTGTCCGCGCGGTCGCGAACGCCGAAGACGCGCGGGAGGGCGTCTCGGCGGGCCCCGTTTTGGAGGCGGCGGGCGCGGGGGGGTGCTCTCCCACGACACGACGGCGCGACCCGGCCGCGGGGATGGGGCCGGGCGCGTGCTTTTAGGTCGAGGTTCCTCGGGGCGATCGAATCGGGACGCGGCGGCGCGCCGACGATGACCGCGATGACCGGGTACGTCGCCGGGTCCGAGAGCCAGATCTCCTTGAACGACATCTCGGCGGCGGGCTTCGTCGCCTTCGTCGCGAGCGTCCGCTGCGACGCCTATGAACGTTTGGCGTCAAAAACCGCCGCGGGCGCGCCCCCGGGGGGCGCCCAGCTTCTGTCGGACGCGGCGCGCGCCATCGGGGCGCGCACGGCGGCGCTCAGGGCCGTTCGGCTCGTCAGCATCCGGAGGGCGTTCATGATTTCTATCGGAGAATCGGGCCTGCTTTTGCACCTTCTTGCGGTCCACAGCTCGAGGCGGCGTGCTGATCGCAGATGCTGATCGCTGCCCGAAGGTGCCGCGGACGCGCAGACATCAACCGCGCGCCGCATCGCGTCCTCGTGTGCGCGAGAGCTACTGCGGCGAGGTAGGTACCAGCGACGGCCGCACCACGTGCCAGCTGGACAACAGCACCTCCTCAAGAAGAAAAAAAGAACAGGCTGTATAGTGCACTCGAATGGACATTGCAGAAGCGCGGGGCGGCGGCCGCGGGCGCTCAGGGGGGCGAGATGGCCGCGAGGCTGTTGGAGCGGCGCATCTCGCCCGCGCGGCGTCCCGGCCCGCGGGGCGAGAAGGACTTGCGGCCCGAGGGCCGCGGCGACTGGTCGAAGTCGAGGGGCGCGTCGACCGGCGGCGCGGCGAGCGGCGGCACCGTGACGCGAGACGCCGCGCTCCGCGGCCGGCGCCGCGGCGCGTCGCCGGCGTCGCCGTCGAAGCGGAGGGCGCCGGGCCGCGGCGACGGCGTCACGCGCGCGACGGCGTCGTCCTCCTCGAAGAAGGACCGCGCGGGGCTCGGCGTCGCGACCGCGAGCGGCGTCACCCTGCGCGCCGCGGCCGGCGGCCGCGGGCTCCGGGGGTCGTCGACGGCGCGGGGCGTGATCGGGGGCAGCGCCGCCCGCTCGGCCCGGGGCAGCGGCCGCCGGACGGCCACGGGCGGCGCCTGCTTGCGCGGGCGCATGGGCTCGAGCTTCAGGGTCATCGTCGACACGGGCGACACGCGGCCGACGCTGCCCTCGTCGCCGCTCTCGCAGACGAGGGCGTCCTCGAGGGCGGCGAGGGCGAAGGGCGAGCCCGACCGGGGCAGGGGCGCGCAGCGCGCGACCTCGGCGTCGTCCATCGATTCGTCGATGGATCCGAGCGGGCAGCCCCGTGGTTTGATTTACTTTTCAGCGAGCTCTCTTCTTGCAGTCGTTGTTGACCGTTGAACTCTCAGAAAAAGCGGGGCTGCAGGCCCTCACTCCGCGTCGTCTTCGGCACTGACGGGCCGTCCCAGGACGCCGCGGGATGGCGCGGATCGCCGCGCTCCTGTGCCTCGTCGCCGGCGCCAGGTCGGCCTGCGAGTACGCCGAGCAGTACGCCGTTGCCGAGGGCGCGTCGGCGGACAGCAGCTACGGCGGCGCCTACACGCCCGGCGACGCCGCGGGCCCGCCGTCCGTGGGGTGGTGCGGCACGAACCAGGGCGGCTCCTGGGCGCCGGCCTACCAGTCGGCGGCGCCCCACGTGCTCAGCGTCGCCTTCGAGTTCCCCGCGCGCGCGTCCGAGGTGAGAGTGTACGAGCACGCGAACCCCAAGGAGCTCACGGGCTTCGTGAAGAAGATCGACGCGCTCGACGCGTCCGGCGCGCCCCGGCCCTTCTGGCAGGGCGACGACGCCACGACCTGCGGCGGCTTCCTCGCCGCGGCCTACGAGGGCGGCAACGAGACGGATTTCGCGGTGCACGGCGTCGTCGTCTACACGCAGACCGCGGGCGCCGCGTGGGAGTACGTCGACGCCGTCCAGCTGATCGGGCGCGTCTGCGACGAGGACGCCGCGCTCGACGTCGAGGACGAGGACGAGGACGACGGTTTCCGCGGCACTTTCGCGGACGCGTTCGGCGCGGACGACGGCGGGGACGCGTCGGTGATCGGGTCCACGACGACGACGACCACTACGGGCTCGTCGTCCACGACCACGACGACCACCGTCGTCCCGCGGCGCTACTACGGCGGCGACGACGGCCGCGGCGACGACGACGACGGCGACGACGACGGCGCGCACCAACTGGGGGCGCCCAAGTGGCTCTTCGTGCTCCTCTTCTACGTGCTCGCCGGCGTCCTCGTCGTCGGCGG